AATACATGAAGATGTAGGTCAGTAGGTGTCTAACTTCAACTTGGAGACGATGCTTCATGTGATGCTCCAATCGTTTCATTTTGGGGACCTACGTTCATTGACCATTTTCTTGACACGTCATTTTTTAGAGTTCCATTCGAAATAAAAAAATGTTGCACCATTTTCTATTCGTAAACTTTTTGTCTAATAGATTGTCTATTTGTTTAGATGTCAGTTTTCATGAGTGATTTACGGTATGTGTGACTTTTTGAGTTCTCTTTAAAAAAAGAGGGACTTATTGAAACTGGTGGACTTTTTTTTTGGAGCTTAGTGTGTCAAAATTTCGAATTTACCCTTACTGTAAATGGAGTGAAAAATGGGATTACTTTAGATGATTGGTGGTGGATGGTATTTGACGGATTTGTACACTTACATCGTTGGACATGTACTTACATCGTTGGACTTGTACGATTGAATTTCACCATCCACCGTTGATACCGTGGACAGTTTGTCGTGTACGATTTAATGGCCTATATAGAAATCAAAGTGTTTTGGGACGAACTTGGCTGCGTTCATGTTCTCCGTATGAACAAGTTGATGGATTTTAGTCATCCTTATTTCAAAATTTTGTTTGTGTTTTTATTGCCTTGATATGAAACTGTGATTTGAACTCTTTCTCTCTCCTCTCTTTCTTAGTGAACATGTTAAGTGACTGGATGGTTTGGCGTTGGACGGTTATCTTTTTACACAAACCAGTGTTTTGGCACAAATTTGAAAAAATATGTTTTTGTATTATAAATTGTACACTTTGCATTCTGTGTATGCAGCAGCTTAGATTGTTTATGTGTGGATGTTTTTTCTTAGTGATTGAATTTTGCCAAGCACCAGAAATTGTCATTTAACTAATTTGGAAGTTTTAGAATGGATAGACTAAATTGGTTCTATTAACATTCAAAGTTCACAATTTATCCATACCCAAAGTTTCTCATCGAATTAACAGATTGGATTAATATAAAGCCACATAATACTCATAAAGAACTGAAACTTCATCTTCTTCAAAATCGGGACTATGGCATAAAGCTAAGCCCTTTACTCCAGCCATACATGATAATATATCAAATTACCTTTAAATTTTGTGATTGTCTCAAAAAAGAGGAAACCAAATCAAATATCCAGAGTCCAAAACATCCAAAGGAATCAACCTAAATCCAAAACATCCAAAACAACCAAATATCATGTTCCAATGGATTTGAGAGCTTATACATCTTTCTCCTCTCGTTTTGGTGAAGAAACAATTCTCTTTCAATTAAATTCACAAATTTCAGAGCATAATGTGTTAACTGAATATTGTGTTCATAGACATAGTTAAAAACAATTCATCCACATAAACCTGTCCAAGGATTCAAATCATCCAAATTAAACCTTTCATAAGAAACTATCCATGTGTAAGTGTTCTGCATAAGAAACCTTTCGCAAGATTCTGCATGTCTACTCTCGAAACTTGGAAAAATTTGTGTTTGTGTTATAAAAAACTTGAAAATTGTAGACTTTATAATCAACAGTTACTTTGTCTACTGTAGCCAATAATCTAACATCCATCTTATTTTTATATATATATATATATATATATATACTAATAGACTATTATGGAACTGTTATTTTAACAAAAAAATTATGGAACTGTTACATATATATATATATATATATATAAATGTAAGGACGTGCCGTAATCTTTTTAATATTTTTAGACTATACAGATTTTAGATGCTAATGCCATGTAGCTAGATGCAATAATAGTTGGGCAAAAAAATAAGAAGTTCGACATGCGAAGTGGGAAAGTGAGAGATATTCCATCACGAGGTGGACTCCAAGACGGCAGCGCCTAACACCATTGGCCCAACTCTGTTTACCACACAGCTCACCTTCTGCCAATCAACTCTCTATCCAACAATATTTCTTATGTATATACTCTTATCTTATGACAAAAGCCATTAAATATATCACCATTTTTAACATATAACCACAAGTATACACACGCTCACACACAGACTTCTCTCACTATATATATATATATATATCTCTCTCTTTCTCTGTTTCAGATCTCACCAGGTCTTCTCTGCTTAATATGTGGCTTCCACGATCTGGTAACATGTAATATTTACGTCATTCTTTTTTAGTGCAAATCAAAAATAAAATTTGTGGGTTGTCTTATTTTACTATATAAGTAGTATATTTAAGTATATAACGAAGTTCAGAGGGTATACCAGATTTTATCTTCCCCTCTCTCATCTCTATCTCTTAGGGTTTCACTTCTTCTGATTCAACAATTTTTGTTTTCGGTTATGTTCCAATTAAGTAGAAGAGAGTAAAATTGACGTTATTTCTTTTCATTTCATCCATTCACAACAAGCCATCTCCACTATTCCGCCATGTTTATCCTTCCCACAATATGTATGCATATACATAAAGATATATTATATAAGGCACGTTTTCAGGGTCTATAAATTAAGAAGGCTAGTTTTTACTACTTAGATGATATAGATAAGTAGTTATACTCAAGAGATTGAGTTAATTTGAGTGTGAGTTTTATTTTGAGTTGGAGTTTGAGAGACAAAAGATTGTGAGAGAAAAAATATTACTATATGAAGAATGTTAAGCCAAATGGAAGATTAATTTTTGGAGCCACGGTCGATGTTTTCTGCTGTGGCATCATCAAGATTCACATCTGTTGATGGACGGTGGTGGTTCACTCTCTCCAAAGTTCTCTGTGAAAATGAGAATCTTGATGATGCTGCATCGGCAATCAACGGCTATTATTCTTTTCACACTTTTCTCTATATATATTATTCGATCCAGCTCTTCTTCAGGTAGGTATGTTTGATCTGCTTAATCTTTTTTGTTTTCTGTTTTTCTCACCTTTATGTTAACCTATTCACCTCGTTTATAATTCTTAATACATAATGATCTGACCCAAGAACCCTTGTTGGGTATCTTGTTTCAAGTGATAACATTGGATTTGATTTGGGATCTCAAGTTTTTGGCAGTCTTTTTCATGTTGCGTTTTCTTTCAACTCAAGACATGAATGGATCCACAAACTTCTCTTTCAATAGGTGAACAAGAGTCAAATTATCAACGGATCTATTTAAGGTAATATATATCTTATTTCTTTTGTTGCCAATGTCAGCTTGCATTTCCACAAAACACAACCATAATTTGGGAAAAAAAAAAGTATATTACGGAAGTTGAGATAAAATAAAAGGGGTCTCTATGGACCTATTGATGTGTAGCGACTAAAAGGTTTCCAAGACACTGTCAATTCTTGTTTTTCTTTACTGGTTGTTATTAGCTCCTGCATTGAAATTGAGAATCAATCAAGAATTGCTGAACCTTACATATTGTAGGCTAGGCATATTCAGTCCCACCTATTTTTGTCCCCTCTATTTACATGTTTAGATGTTCTGATAACTGCAATGCTACTGATGAACAATGGAGAAAAAACTATCTCTTTTTTTGTTTGTCCTTATATGTGTCTATTCACTTATTCGTTGACATGAAGAATCATGTTGTGAACAAAACCAATCCACAATGACTTCCATGTTTTGAATCTTTTGATTATAAGCACAAATCATTCCTAATCTATATATCATCTTTCCTGTTTCCAAGTCAAATTCCAAACTTTTGTTCTCAGGGTATAAATGTAAGGACGTGTTTAGTAATTTTTGCCGGAAAAAAAGTGTTTGGTAATAATTAATATCTAGTATGTCGTGGAGATGTATGTGTCAAGTGCACTCTTCATCCACATATATTTAGTCATCCAAAGAAATGAATCGTATATTTTGGTCAGAACTATCATGATAAATCATTTTTGTAAGCAATGAATTGGATGACCTAAACTTCCTCCATTGATCGATCTCCATAAGTGGGAGCGAAATCATTCTATCTTCTTGTAGTACAATGGCAACAGTTTTTTCAAATCATGATGATATCTTTGATAGGTCCGACACTCACGTATATTTTGCATTTCTTTTCTAGCATTAGCATACGAAAATGTTGTTTTATGAAAATTTCTCCACTGAGGTTTTTTCTAAAGACCTGATCAACTGAATATGCTTTTGCTCAAATTTGTAAGTAAATGTATAAGTTAGAAAAATAGATGAGTTTATAAGGTTTGATTGGTATGTAAAATGAATAGTGAGATAGCAGTATAGTCAAATTAGCTCTCTTTCTTTTTGGGAAAAAATAGTCAAATTATTTAATACTGTAAATATTTGAGCTGGATTGATTTTTTTGCATAACAATCACAAAATACCAGAAAAACCTATTTTGATAGATTAATGACGTTTGGTTTCTTACTTCTAAAATATAAAGTTGAAGCACTATTTAAAAACGTGAAAACTCATTGAATGGTTAAAATATAGTATAGATAATTTACTATTGATTAATCATCGATGATATGTGTGAATTTTCATGTGTTCTGATTATCTTCGAAATTATATAAGTGGTTATTATGTTATGTCCTCTCCTATATGTACATAAATGTATTAGAATCTTTACGTATTTAGATCCGACAGAAATGAGATGGTATATTGGCTTGAGGGGATGAATGATGTGTGTGGTCCATTCAGATTGAGATCAAACGTAACGCCGAGTATGTGAGGACCATTTCTTTATAGTTGTACCTATATTATTCCCAATTTTCTAAAACTTTAGGCATTTAATGTGTTTGGATATCAGCATATATCACCAAATTGACCTTCTGTTTACTATTTAGAGCTTTAGTCGGTATTTTCTTTCAAGTATTTTGTATGGCCTATCAATTTTTGAAGGTGGTATATACAATTTTATCAGTTTCAAACAGTTTGTTCGAAAAATATAGGAATTCAGTGTCACGTATTACCCTTAGCTATATATCAATATTCAATAGAACTGATGAGACTGTTTATTTTTGATTTAGAAAATGATGAGACAATATATATAATATTCAGTTTGTTTATTATTTTTTTTCCAACAACATCTATTCCTAAACCGTTCTAGAAATCCAGATCGGTGGAATAGAGTTTACATAATACATATCGTGAAGGAGATCTCGTGCACTCCGAGCTAGCTTGTCTGCCTTCGTGTTATTCGTTATTGATATATGATGAACAGAAAAAGTGGTAAACCTCCTCTTGCATCTGTCTACTTCTTCAAGAAGAATCGAGAATGCTGGCCACTCATTTGGATTAGACACCATTTTTACAACGTTCGAGCAGTCTGTCTCGAAAACCACCTCTTGCTTGTTATGTTGGATCATGCACTGCATAACCCATATAAACGCCTCCACTTCCATTTAGAGTGGCGTAAGTCTTCGATGTAAATTGCTTGAACCCATAAGCTCCTCTCCTGTGATGGTATCATGGAAATACCATCCTAAGCCTGATCGACATTCCATTTTTTTCCATACGCCATCTGATCATCTGATTGACAATATATTGTGCGTGTACGTGGTTCTACCACGGATCTCGCAACTGAGTATATAATTTCTTGTCGTGTTTGCGCCTCTGCCCAAGCTTCCAGATGTACCAAAGTATCCATGGGAAGGCCGACATGCGATCATCATTTAGCAAGTGCCAGAATAGATGGGCCATGTTAGTGAAAATCCCTGCTATAGGAAAAACATGTGGTGGAGTAGGAATCGACGATAAAGCCCAAATCTACAATGCTGGCGGACACTCGAAAAGCGCGTGGTTTATTGTTTCCTCATACATTCCACATCTCGTGCATAGTGAATCGATCTACATACATCTGCTCCTTAATCGTGCTCCAACCGATACACATCCGGTGACAATTTGCCAGAGAAAATGATTCAATTTTGAACTGCATCGAACCGTCCAAGCACGGGTATTGTTGTGCCGTCAGGTAACCAGATTTAATCGTATATCTTCCTGATTTGGTAAAAAACCAGCCAAGTGTGTCTGGTCGATGTACATCTGTTGTTGGTATACCATTTATAAGGGATACCGTTGTACTATTAAACAATTGTCGTAATAGTGGTAAGTTCCACGTTGATGTATAAGTGTCAATTAATTCACACATCCGAAGGTGAGGATAATAGTTGAAACCCCTACGGATTGCTGACCTCGGGCGAGAAGCTGGAATCCACGGATCAGTCCAGACTGATATGGACCGGACCGAACCGGCTGCGTCGAGCGACACACGCTTTGTGTTGGTCGACACAGACCACTTTGTGTCGACCGCGACAAGCTTTGTGTTGCTCGACACACGTCCGTCAGGTCGACATCAATAGCAACGAAACAACACATAAACACAGAATCAACACAAAAATCACCCAAAGAACATCAAATAACCTGATTATTACATGAACATAACAAGAACAACCTCAATCAACTCCGAATCTAGCAAATCGCGAGCCTACAGTCATGCACTCACCTCTTGAAAACATGATTTTTGTATGTATCAAACCCTTTAACCCATGCTCGTATCATCGCAGCATAGTAAAGGTGTTGAGCCAATTCATAGAGAGTTTAGGACTTCAAAGAACCCAAGAAAAACTTCAAGTCAAGAACAAAAGATTTGGTTTTTGCGAAATCGAAACTCAACAGTGAAATTAACAAACTTTAAACAGTAAATAACGGTTGAAATCTGAATCCAAAGATAAAGACTTCGACTTTGAGCTAAAAGACTAAAACTTGAAACAGAAAATGAAGAAAGGCGACTCCTTTAGACCAATGCGAGTGATTTTCGAGCTAAAGGAGACAGCTTTGGACTTAGGAACTTAAAACAAAGCTTCTAGGCCGAGAAAAACAGAGGGAAAGCTTCTCGCTATCACGATTGAAGCTTAAATGTGAAGTCCAGCTCAAGAACTAGCTGTCGCTAGTGAGCTGAGACAACCACAAGCTTTAACTTCAGATCCTCTTCACCAATAAACCTCCTAAGACAATCGCTATCGCGAGCTAGGAGATAGATCCCTAAGCTTAGATTATCGAGCTCTCTTACACACTTTTGCTGTGTAGAGCGCTTGAAATCAAAGGCAAGGTGATCAGAAATGTCTCAGCTTTAGTGTACTAAGCTAGGAGAAGCTCCTAAGGGTATTAACTCTTAACAACAAAACCGCTCCTTTAAAACTCTCAAATCCGCAAAGCCTAAAGAAATCTAAGCGACTACTCACTAGACATGTTTAGTAAACCAAATCCCATGAAAGAAAGGTTACTAAACAAGCAAGGAAGGATTAAAGAACAGATCTAAACGAGTACGTGATTTGATTAATGAAAGGGAGATGAAACCTTACAAAGTTTAAGATCTCAAACTAGAGTATTTGCTTGATGAGAAAAATGAAAGACAAATTACAAGCTGCCTAAAACTTTAGGACTTAAAAGTTTATATAGTGGAGACTCTAAAACCCTTCTTCTTTTCATCCAAGATTTTAGGCTCCAAAACTCGGCATTTTGCTTAGGCTTGGTCCAACTTGACAAAGGTCAACTCTCTTCTTGGTCAAGGCAAGCTTAGAGGGCGATAGTTGGGTTCCCAGAACCCGATTGATATCCTGGTCGAGAACTCCTTTGATGTCTTCAGCACTCCACACTCCTAATTATCTCCAAAGCTCCCAAAAGTACCTGATTTAGTATATGCAATGCAGGTTCAAAGAAGATGTAATTGTGTAATGAAAGATATGAAGAACTAAATGCATGCAAATGAAGCTAAAGAAATGCAATTAAGTATGTAAATGCATTATTAAATGTGTTAATATATGGTTATATCAACTCCCCCAAACTTGAACTTTGCTTGCCCTCAAGCGAGAAGAACAAGTCCGAGAGAATTGGCTTTGGCGAGGACTCAAAATTCCAGGATGCAATGAGAGGAAATGATGTCAATAACCAGGTTGGGAATCATAAAATGCAAGGCAAGCAAGCTCTACTTCAAAAAGTTTAGCCACACTTGTCACAACAACAAGAGGACAATAGACTCGACTTACACAATGCATTCAAATAACTCTCATATTTTAACATTCAATTAGCTTGGAAACGTGAATCAGTCACTAATGTATATCAAATGACTCGCTTGGCTTAAAGAGTAAGGCTTAAAGAGACAAAGATGGTCCCATTTTTCACTGGTTTCACAATTGGCTTAAAGGATCTCTCAAAGAAAAAGGGTTAAGCTTTAGTAGAATGCTAAGGGTAAAAACCAATGATGATACAAGGCTAGACTCCCATCTACCCAAGAACTTTGAAGCACAAACCCCTGTTTCCCAGAAATCCTATCTACCCAAGAAGGCAGAACTCGCCTTAGCTCTTTTATGGAACTCCCTTTTTCTTTTCTCTTCTTGCAAGCCCTTAAGAGAGGTTTCTAAACTTTTTTATAGCGGTTTGGGTTTTTCTTCTTTTGGCTCTCAAACTCTTTTTCTAAACTTGGCATTTCGCCTTTTTCTTTTATTTTTCTTTCTAGAGCTTTTCTTTCTTTTCCCCAAACCATTATTAGATACTTATACTTTACAATTCTTCCCTCCTTAGAGACTCAGCTTAACCTTTTCTTTCCCTTTGCGGGTTTTCTTTTGGATTTCTCTTTCCACTCTTCCTTTTAGGAACTGCCCCAAATCCCAAATGATACTCCCCCAAACCTAGTCCTAACTAGCTCAAAAGGACGAGCTATAACTACATGAGAACCTAAACCTTGTCGGTAAAAACCCAACACTTTCTACCAAGCTCAACCGAAAAGGCCTCACACACTGAGAAAAAGCATTTTGGTTTCAAGGAAGGGTTGGTTAAGTGATGTAAGACTCGGTGGTGAGGCTTAGATCTGATGGCATGTGATGGATTGATGGGATCTGAAGGCTGGCTTTAACGCTCTCTCCTTTAGATCAATGGGTGAGGATGGTAAGACAAGGCTTGATTCCACAAGACTTGAATCGAGGCGGTGTTCAACAAGCTGGCTATCACGCTCTCTCTTGTATGAACGAAAAGGGGATGTCGAAGGTGGATCGATGGCACCACAGAGATGATGGAAGGATCTCTGATACAACAAACTCGTCCTTGGTGAATCACACACACAAGAGAACAAGCTAGGGTTCTAAGCAAGCGGCGGCTTGAGCAAAGAAGAAATACGGTATTTTATTAATAATCAAAGGTAACCAAAAATACAAAGCTGCAGGGGAGCTTTATAAACAGCTCTTCAGCTAGCCCTAGGGCCGAAATTCAAATAAGGAAAGAAAGCACATCACGCTCTCTTGAACAGAAACAAAAAGCAAAAATAAATAAAAATACAAGAAAAGGAAATAACACTTAAACTAAACCAAACTAAACCAAACTCGTGTGGCTTCTTCTGGGCTCGAACTGGAGTTGTCTCTGAGCCTAAGAACCACTGGGATACTCGCCCTTACCTGCACAAATTGTATAAATTGAATATACCTGCTTTTGGCGCGAGTTGAGCTGAGGTGGTGTTGAGTAGAGCTTGTCTGGTCCGGGTCCACTCCTTGCTGGTCCAATGATGAAGTCTTCCTCTTCAGTGCCTTGAGAGTTGACTTGGTGAAGATCTTCAAGTGTTTCCTCTTCAGTAGCTCCCAAAACGTCTTCATGTTCCTTAAGCTCCTTGTCTGCTACATTGCGGGTCTTGATCATGTCCTCAAGCTCCGACTTGTTCTGAACTCCATTACCTGCCAAGTAAATAGACTTACAGTGCTTTGAATGAGGGTGATCCTCCTCTAGGCTCATGCATGCAAAATCCTCCATTAAGGCTAGTTCCGGGGCAATGGTGTTGCTCAAGGGGTCAACGTCGTTGCTCAAGCAGCTGTCGTCAGGCGGCAGGGTATTGAGCAAATCTCCAAGGTTCATGGTGTTGAGGAGTGTCTCAACAGCTTCATTGAATCCTTCTCAAAGTCTCCTGGTCTTGGAACGCGTCATGGGTGAGTCCTTGACCACCGGTATGTTCTCTATGACCTTAGTTGAAGGGTAGGGAATTCTACTTGGATTAACAAGAATGGTGAAAAAGGGTGAAAGATAATCCAAGTATGTATGTGAATCCACGAGTCTTTAGTCAATGCACAAGGATGATAATTAAACATTTTTTTTCAGGTTTCGATAGGTAAGATGAGAGATCAAATCACAGCAATGCTTCAGTCAAGTCTAGATGTCAAAGACTGCATTCAAAGTGTGGTTCTACCTTAACTTCAAGCTCGCTTTATATGCACAAGATGATTCAAAACCGGGTCATTGAAAACATTTAAAAAAATCTCACCCTTTCCTTTATCATAATACTCTATGCAAATGTAATGATATGCACATAGACTAGATGTTATAATAATGATGCAAATGATGCTTTTCTTTTTGGTGAAATGCAATTTTCGAAAAAAATTCAATTTTTTTGGTTTTTCTATGCCTTATATGCAAATGCAAACTACATGAGACTCAAATGATAAAATTGAAAATAAGACTCACAGAAAAAAAACTCAAATACTATGAACCTCTTCCCCAAACTTAAAATGCATATTCCCTTGTGCAAAGAAGAATTTGAAGAAGAGATCCATGATGCAAAATGCAAAAACAGAGAAAAAAATAAAAATGAGTGGTATTTACAATGGATGAGGTTGTACCTATCAGGAGCTCATGGAAAATGGTGTGGTGAGCTCGACAATGTCGAGAGGTTCGGTCTGAGAGTATGGTGTTGGTGATATTTCAGCTCGCCTCTTCCTTGTGTTTCGCATGACCACCGTCTCTTCACTTCTGGCTCTTGTTGATGGCGTGCAAGAGAGCTTGTCTTTAAGATCCTTGACTGTTTTCACCAGCTTCTTGATGGTTTTTTCCTGCCTCTTGCACCATCGTTGGAGTAGGTTGATATGCTCATGAGCCTTGGCGGTCGCAGGAGTCTCTCCTTCAGTGTTGAATGGTATGAAGCTGTATCTTTGATGATATGGTTTTGCGGTGATATGTGATATGAAATGATGTAATGATATGAGGTGGAATGCAAACAGTGGTGAATAAAGATGAGATGGTATGGTGCAATCACAATCAATCAATTCCTCTTAACCATCATAGTCGATGTAGTATAAGAGGTTATCAATCCAAAAGGGTGAGATGTTGCTCTTTGAATCTATGCAAACACAAGAAAGTCAAGCAGTACAATAAAGGGGGATGAATCTAACAACCTAATGAAATGAAATGCAGTGCATAAAGTAAAAGAAAGCAGTAAATGCAAGCAGCTCGACCAAGGGCTCGATCGAGTAGAACAGAGTAACTAGGCTCGATCGAGTTGAGGGTCGAGTTGACGTAAAAACAGAGTAAAAGCGATAAAGATACGAACTTTAAGATGCTATGCGAATGTTAGGGTCTAAGACAGGGTCTTGCAACTAGGGGAAGACTATACTTAATCAATCTTGCTCTTAAACAACTTGTATCAAGCTATCTCTTGGTATTGAGCTTCTCAAGCCTAGCTAGCCCTTTCCCAAGGTGAAAGCTATCATCCAAGGCAAGATCTCAGAAACAGGGGGTCAGCCAGTGAGAATCAAGCCTTGGAGGCAGTAGGATCATTGCTCAAACTAACCCATCCAACACCTATGAACTCCATTTCGAGAGCAAGGTTTATTGGAGCTCTTAGTGGACCTTTTCAAGCGATTTCCAACTCATTCCCATGAGGAAAATCGCCTAGACTCATACACACCATGGTAGTGGTTGTGTAGCCTTAAGCTTGTCCAAAAGAGAGAGATTTCTAGATTAAGAACACAAGCAAAGAGATTAAGCATAAGGATCCTCTAATCTAGCCCATCTTAAACCCTAAATAGAACTACTCACTACACATGAAGAAATACACAATCAAATGCAATGAAATCGACATTAAATGAAAGAGGGAATGAAAATAAAGAACTTTTATTGAAATAAGCAAGTGCAAATACAAAGAAATAGCCTAGATCTAAGGTTCAAGGAGCAATGAAGCTCAAGAACACAAAGAGAGGCTTAAGTTTGCAAAAAGTAAATTACAAGATTAAAGAAAAGGAAAACAAAAATAAGCTAAAGATTGTTGTCTTTTTCGTGGCTAAGAGCCTTTAAATACAAGAGATTAGGTTTAGGGTCAAAGGGAAGCAACATTTTTCGGGTTTGACCGTTGACTCTCAGCTCGATCGAGTTGAACTTGGCTGGTCGAGTTGAGGAACTCGACCGTTGGTCGAGTAGATGGTCGAGCTGACTTCAAGATGACTTCCTCCTTCATCCTTGCGTGTGTGGTTGAGCTGCGTCCATGCACCAAGTCCTTCCTTGCTCCTCACGTCCCAAATGCTCCAAAGTGCTCCAAAAAGACCTATTTCAAGGACCAAACATGCACATGTATGCAAATGCAACCTAAAACTACTATGAATGCACAAGAAGGGAAAAGGAACAAGATATGATGCTAATGGATGCTAAAACTATGCAAAAGATGCATAAAAGATGTACTAAAACTATGCAAAATGCAAGTACATCAATCTTCCCGCTTGTTTTTTCGCTCTTGCTTCCGGTTCTCCTTCCTCTCTTGTTTCCGGTTCTTCAATTGTTGTGTCTCCTCCATCCATGTGGAGGTCGTCGGCTGTGGGAAGGAAGATTATTCCACTCCTCTCGTCAAAACTCGTGAGCTCCTTGTTTGGCAAGAGAACCTTCGAGACGCTAAAAGTTGGATGTTGGAAACGATAGACGTGCTTTCCCTTGTGCATTCCTCTAAGGAACTAAGTCTTGTTGAGGTAAGCGGTGTTCATAGTCGCCATGAGGAGTGGAGATATCATGCTCCCAATTGCCAAGTATGAGTCTCGGATCTTCCCTTGCTCATAGGCGATGACTCCGTTCCTCATGCATTACTTGAAGGAGTTGAGCATCACAATGGCCGTGCTTGCGGTTGATCTATCTCCCTCCATCTTCTCTCCATTCTCTAAAGTCTCAAGATGATCAAGAATGGAGATGTCAAGCATCTCAAGCTCCACTTTGGTCACATTGGCACACTCATATCTAGCAAAGAGAGTGTGAGCGACGGCTTTGTGAGCATAGCGGATAGTCGGGTTTCGGATGTTCCCTCCTTTGAGTTGGAAGATGATGTAGTTGGTGGAGCTTATCGTTTGCCATAACCCAATCAACTCGGCTCATGTGACACACATCTCTGAATCAAGGCCTCTATCTTGTGTGAACGCCATATATCTGCTCAACCTTCTTCACACTCATCCGAAATTGTTGACCCAAGAGCTCATATGTGATTAAACCGGCTCCATCTCTCCTAATCTCCTCTTCAGCTAGCTCAGGATGCCTCACTATCTTCAACGAGGCAAGGAAATGGAGAGTTAGGTTTTGATAGGCAGGGAGACGGAGCTTCATGAACTTGGCTAGTTCCATTCCCTCGAAAATTGACTCTACATCCTCATCAATCCCGAGCTCCTTCATTGGTTGCTTATGAGGATATCTCATTGGCAAGAAGCGCATCCTCCTGAGGATTTTGATGCGGCCTTGTACACCATATGGTCTCGGGATTGGTGTGTCATTCAAGTCCTGTTCGACCAAGCATGGCACTCGCTCCGATTCCGCTCTGTTTTTACTCCTCTTCCTTTTTCCACTTGTCTCGGACACCTTCTTCTTTCCTTCCTTCTTCTCCCTTCTCCTCTTCGTGATCTCGTCTTCACGAGGAGCTTGCTTTCCTGATCTGGTGGTGAGAATAAACAATCTCAGAACGTAATGAGCCTCTGTTTTCAAGCAACAAAGAGCAACAAAATTTTCTCAACTAAAATTTCGACTTGTTCAATCATAAAAACATGCTCAAATACTCTAAACCCAACCGCAACAAGCTTATGCAACAGAAAATTTTAAAGACATGTTACGAATTCCGGAGGATTGAACCAAATTAGCTCAAGAACACTTCCGAATTTAAACTCCAAAATTCGCTCTAATAGCACAAAATTTCCTACATGCACGCTCGATTTCTATCTCTCCAAGTCATAATCAAGCTAGATCTATCAATTAAGAACAAGAACCAGCCTTCTCAAGTGAAATTCCGAAAAGGAGGATTCACAAGAGAAGAGATGATTTCGAAAGATGAAATACCTTGATTAGACTTGCAGATGGAAATGAATCGAGCTAAGCTTGTTAATGCGGCGGATTTAAGAGCCTTGAGCTTTGAAATTCGAAATTTGGTTGAGAAACAAAGAAATCCGGGATTTTTGCGTGAAAAATCGGAGAAAAGCTTCGAAGAAGAAGAACTTCGAGTTTTAAAAGAAATATAAGGGGAAAAGGTTTTCTCGGGTTTAATTTAAAAAGGAGCGGGTCACTTACTGGGCGGGTCGTCAATCGGGTTTAACTGACCGTTAGGAAACCGATTGACAACCCGATTGCTTTAGAATTTCACCCGGTTCAGCTGAGAGTTGATGTAAAGGAGCTATGGATGGATTTATCGTTCCTTGCAAACGTGGATAAGCAATATTTCTGGTAGAACGACCAACTCTCCAGCTCCTTCAATCAATCTCAGCTCTCCTTTAACTTCTCCGACCTACAAAACACATTAGATAAAAGCAAAAACAAGAAATTTAAAAACAAAAACTATTTACAAAGGATAAGTATGGGACTTCCTCCCAAGTGAGCTTAAGTCTCAAAGCTTGACTTTCATTGCCTTTTCAGGTTTGGGGTGGGTCATGGAGACGGATCGAGCTTCCTTCTCCACTGCATTGACTGGCCATGTACTTCTTAACTTGCTGACCATTAACCGTGAACTCAATCCCATTTTGATTCACCAGAGTGATAGCTCCATAAGGCAGGACTTCCTTAACCTTAAAAGGTCCTGACCAGCGAGACTTAAGCTTTCCAGGGAATAGCTTGAGCCTTGAGTTGAAAAGGAGCACATCATCTCCTTCTTTGAACACCTTGGGGATGATTCTCTTTTCATAGAAGGCCTTGGTTCTTTCCTTGTAGATCCTGGAACTTTCATAGGTACCAAGGCGAATCTCCTCTGGCTCGTGAATGTCCATTTCTCTTTTCTCCTGAGTTGTGCTAAGTTCCATGTTCAAGTACTTGATAGCCAACCTGGCTCTATACTCCAACTCAAGAGGCATATGGCAAGACTTCCCATAAATCAAAGAGTATGGTGACCTCCTAATTGGCGTCTTGCCCACAGAGCGTCATCAAGCTTCTCCGACCAGTCTTTTCTTGATGAATTCACTGTCTTGTGGAGTATGACTTTTATCTGCTTATTTGAAACCTCCACTTGGCCACTAGTTTGTGGGTGATATGGTGTAGCTATCTTGTGCTTCACACCATATTTCTTCAAGGGATTCTCAAAAACTTTATTGACAAAGTGAGTGCCACCGTCACTTATTACACAACGTGGAACACCAAACCTAAGGAAAATTATGGTCTTGAAGAGCTTAAGTACCACCTTGGCATCATTAGTTCGTGCAGCTATTGCCTCAACCCATTTGGAGACAAAGTCCACAACTACCAAGATCTAAGCATTGCCATGAGATGCCGGATTGAATGGACCAACGAAATCTATTCCCCATACATTGAACACCTCAACTTATAAGATCGGGTTCTGAGGCATCTCGTTTCTTGCTGTGATGTTTCCTGCCTTCTGATAAGCTTCACACTTAAAGATGAAGGCATGTGCGTCCTTGAACATATTGGGCCACCAGAAACCTGCTTGTAGTACCTTTTGCACCGTTTTGAAAACCGCAAACTGATCTCCATAGCTCAAACCGTGGCAATGAAACAGAATACCTTCGACCTCATCCTTAGCTATACACCTCCTAAACAAGTTGTCATTCCCTTTTCTGAACAGGTAAGGCTCATCCCAGTTGTAGTAGTTGACATCTTTGAAAAATTTCTTCCTTTGGTAACCACTCCAGCCACTAGGGATCTCTCTACACACCAAGTAGTTGACAAAGTCAGCATACCATAGAACTTCCTCTCCTCATGCGATTCTTTCCTCTTCCAACCTACAATTGATTGCATATCCTCTGTCCACAATCCTGGCGGCCATGAGCTGCTCCTCAGACAGAGAATCGTCAATAGGGAGCTCTTCTTCAATCCTTAACCTCGAGAGATGATCAGCGACACTATTTCCTTTCTTGTCGACTATCTCGATATCGAACTCTTGATGCAAGAGAACCCATCTCAAGAGTCTAGGCTTTACATCTTTCTTGGTGTATAGATACTTGAGAGCAGCATGGTTTGTGTGAACTATGACCTTTGAACCAACAATGTAGCTCCTGAACTTGTTAAAAGCAAAGATGACTGCCAGCAGCTCTTTCTCGGTTGTGGCATAGCGAGTTTGAGCATTGTCAAGCGTCCTACTTGCATAGTAGATCACATTCATCTTCTTATCTACCTTCTGATCCAACACTCCTCCCACAGCAAAGTCCGAGGCGTCACACATGATCTCAAAAGGCAGCTCCCAATTAGGTGCTTGGACAATTGGTGCGCTAACAAGAGCTTCCTTGATCCTCAAGAAAGCTTGGCTACACTCTTCATAAAATAGAAACTATGTTTCTTTGCATAAGAGTCTTGTGAATGGCCTTGCCATCTTTGAGAAATCTTTTATGAAGCGTATGTAGAAACCTGCATGCCCCAAGAAGCTTCTTACATCCTTGACTGACTTAGGCTCTCTTAGTTGCATCATGACCTCAATCTTTGCCTTGTCTACCTTGATGCCTTTCTCTGAGATCTTGTGGCCAAGAATTATCCCTTCTTTCACCATGAAGTTGCACTTTTCCCAGTTCAGAACCAAGCCCGTTTCCTCACACCTTTATAGCTCCCTACACAAGTTAGATAAACACAAGGAAAAAGACGAGCCATAGACCGAAAAATCGTCCATGAAAACTTCGACCATTTTCTCTATCAGGTCTGAAAATATTGAGATCATGCATCTTTGAAACGTTGCTGGTGCATTACACAATCCAAACGGCATCCTTCGATAAGCAAATGTGCCGTATGGACATGTGAAAGTTGTTTTTTCCTGGTCATTTGGATGAATTGAGACCTGAAAGAAACCAATATAGCCGCCCAAGAAGCAATAGAAAGGATGACAAGCTAATCTCTCAAGCATTTGATCGATGAATGGCAAGGGAAAATGATCATTTCTTGAGGCAGAATTAAGCTTACAATAGTCTATGCACATTCTTTGTCTGACTATTGTCCTACTTGACTTGGGATCAATTCATTCTTTTTGTTCTTGATGACAGTGATCCCACCTTTTTTTGGGACACAATGTACTGGTGAAAGTACTGTCCGAAATAGGGTAAATGATCCCAACATCAAGAAGCTTTAATATTTCTTTCTTGACCACTTCCTTAAGGTTGGGGTTTAATCTACGCTGGTGTTCAATAGTTCCCTTTGATTCGTTTTCTTGGTGAATCATGTGAGTGCTTATGGTAGGGGAGAGACTGATGCGGAGTCAGGTTTTACCAAACTCCTAGACCTCTGCAAGTGCACAGATCGCGGAAGTATGGGTATCGAACACAAGGACTGGCTATTGAGTACACTTTGAACTATGGATTTTGGATCAAGCTAAAACAAAAGTATGATTGAGGTTGTAATGGTGAACCGAACTAGCAAGTATAACGAGGTTGTAAACAATAAAGGAAAAGCGCTAGGTCATAGGGGCTATCGCAGAGAAGCAAGCAATGATCAATGAAACAATGATAGATTAATTGATTAGGGATATTGGGATATTAAGAACCATCTAGAACACAGATCACGAATATAAAACCATTCCACTTTCGAGGCTCCGGCTCCTTTGCTAATCTACCTAGTCGCTAAACTTTTGGTATGTCCCTAGGTGATTAGATCAAGCATTAGAATGAATAGGTTCTGATACAGTTCACTAGATATAGATAGATCAACTTTCGCAGTCTAAGAAACCTAGCTTGTCAAAGAATATGTCCGGCGAATGATACAGCACTGTCGAGGCTCAAATCAACCTAAGATCGGATTACTAGATGCGCGGTAAAGCAATCAGCATTAGTTAAGTGCACAAGACGAGACAAAGACTCTAATATAATCCCTAGCTAATCATTGAAATCAAAGATCATGCAAGCAACTCATTGAATAGTAACCCTAGCAACCTAACTAGTGGATTACTCAGACATGATCAAAGCAAACACACATAGAGATGAAGAAAACATGATTGCAATAAAACTTAGAGTAGGAAATCGAAATACAGGGCGGCTCTCTTTCTCAAGAGGCTAAAAATCCATATATATAGTGCTAGGTCTTTCTAGAGGCGGCTTAGGGTTAAGCCGGGCTTGAAAACATAAGTTTGGGCTTCAAAAGGGCTTCGGGTCGACCGCGGCGTTGGGACGGTCGTCGGGACGATCGGCCGGACATCGGGTCGTGGGCGAGTCGGAACGGTCGGGGTCGGACGGATTCGCGGTCGGCCGGCGTGGTCGAGCGGATGAGATTTGGCCGATGAAATTCTCGGCCGGACGTGGGACGTTCTTTCCCGGCTCGGACGGATGCATCGGCCGTGGTACGCGGAACGGGTTGCGCGGCCGCGAGGCTTGTTTCCCGGCTCGCGCGCTTTGGTCGTGCGCGGTGTGGCGTGAGCGTTGGCTTGGCCGACCGCGGGACATGTTTCCCGGGTCGTGCTGTGTGATCGGCCGAGTGGTTTGGACTTTGGCCGAGACTTCAGTCGGACGGATACTTTGGCCGAGCGCGGAACATTCGTTCCTCGGCCAGCCGGACTGCGCGGTTGGGCGCTGATTCTCGATAGAGCCGTCTGGACAGTCTTCACTCTTTTGGTTGTAACTCCTTTTCTACTCATCCAAATGAGGCCATTCCAGTTGCGTTGGAAAGTTAACTCAATCAGAGCACGCAGGGAACTGGTCTTGATGAAATCCATTGAGTAGATCTTTTTCTGGGCCCTCTTAAAGTTGGTGCTTGTGCATGGAGCGCTTGAAGTGCAAATCCTATGGTTTTGCTCCAAAATGCATCATTTCACCTGTTTAGACTCTAGACACTATAAACACAGTAAAACTACCTTTTTAGATAGAAAACCTGCCAAAAACCATTAGAAAACAATGCTAAAACAGTATAAAAAGTGGGTAAATTAGAGGTATATCAACTCCCCCAGACTTAGATCTTTGCTTGTCCTCAAGCAAAAAGAATCTAAATCCGTGAAAGAGGTTTGAAAACGTGGAAGCTCCCTTGCTCTTTTGAATATCCTGTGAAAGGTTCCTTTCCTGTATTCCACTATGAACATAGACAACATAAGGTTAGCTTCACATACACCCTGCAAGTTTAGCGAACAATACCAACCCAACTAGTCTCATCCAGCAATCCAAACTCTCTATTGCTAACCTCTTGCATAAATTTAAAGCGTGAATTCTTTATCAAGGGGACATCGATCAATTGAACTTGTTCTTACCCACTTGATCCTCTCCAAGATTGCCTCTTTAAGTGCAATGAGTTCTTTTCCTCTCTCTTTCTCACATCAGAACTTTGAAAGGTCAATTTCTCCCTACTTTTCTAGGGTATCATTTTATTTTTTCTATTGACCCTTCTTTCAACCACAGGATAAGTCTTTAGCTTGTTCCTTGTTTGACTAAGGTATTCCATAAGACATGAAGGTACAGACATATGCATTCCTCATGCTTACTTGTTTCCTTGTGCTCTTTGAGCTTTTTCTCATAAATTACTTACCATTTGGGATGGGAGAGAGAGGAGAACTCTTTAAAGATTAGACAAATCTTATTGAAAATCAAGCAAGGAACTGTCGACATGTATGCCAACCCCCTTGACAAGAGTAATTAAGATTGATTAAGGTGAGGTTAACTCTAGATTGCTTGGTTACCTTAGAAATTTTGCTGAGCTAGCATGTCGATCCACTGTAAGAGCTTCTGTTAGGCTTGTGCCTTTAGCTGGTTTCTGCTCTAGGGTCATGGATTGTTAGCATAACACTCTCAATTCTCAAAGCAAGTTCATAACTTCCGGACTGGTTTTTGACTCAATAAAACTTTTTGAAAAACATGAAACAAAGTGAATAAAACATAAGAAAAGAAAGAAAAATGCATTAGTAACACAATAAAACTCCCCCCAGACTTAACTTGCACCGTCCCGGTGAAAGCAAATCACATTAAGGTGAGAGGTAATATTCAAAGTAAAAGAAAAATAAAGAAAAATTCATTAAAATAGATAGGGATAGAAAATGGAGATTTGTAAGTGTCCATTGCACTAAGTACCACTTGAGATGACTATGTGTGGCAGTGAGAAGAACTCTCTTCCTCATCTATGGGGTCATCGCCTTCTGAACCAAGCTCTGAGTCTAGTGAGAACTCACCAAGGTCAGGCTCATATGGCTCTCTAGCGGTGGAAGAAGGGCGAAAGAGTCTCTCCGGTGCAATGTGGCGAACTACGCGGACTAGGCGTGAGATGAAGCGAGATTGGCATTCCACTATCTTCTCCAGCTTGTTAACACGGTCTAGAGCTTGGTGCGCAGCCATGCCAGTAGTGAGAACATGGCGTTCTTGGATGGCGGCGTTGAGTCTTGACTGCATGCTGAAGTGTGCGATAGGTGAGCATGGGGAATGATGGTTTCTCACTTGATGGAACATAGAATCTTCCTCATTGGGCTGGAAAGTGACAACTCCTGAGCGTAGGCTTGGGATGTCTCATGTGGCAGCAAGACAAGGGAAGTGTTGGCTGGACCAATTGGAAACTCATAGCAAAACCGAGTTGGGTCTTTAGTCCAACGGTTTAGGAAGTGGATGTGCTGAAGAGCATGGAGATCCAAAGGGGTTGGCTTGGGTAGTGGCTCATAGTTGGGAATGTCAATCCCCACATGCAGTACTATGGCCGTGATAAGCCTCCCAAAACGAACACAAAGCTTCTTGTTGCCTTCCAAGTCTTTAGCTAGCTTCCTCACATTGATGAATGTCTTGGCAAGTAAAAGTCCAAGGTTGGCCTTGTACTCATGCTTGATGAATGGTGTGGTGAGGATGTAGAACTCATCAGTTGTGACCTTGTTGGCTTCTTGTTTGCATTGGAAAGTGGTGGAGATGAGGCGGTGCACATAGCGAATGGCTGGATGAGTGATTCTAGACACCTTTGACCTTGAAGGCAAGAATGGTTCATTGGCAAAGTGTGTCCAATCAGCAAAGGCAGCTTGTTTCCTCTTTGAGTTCTCCTTGAAGTCATGTGCTGTCTCATTGGGAAGTCCAAAGAGTTGGCATAGAGCTGAGATGGAGATGCGCCCATTGGCATCGCCTATCTTGAAGAGTAGGAGTCCATCACCAGCTGGTTGGTCTCCATTGTGGTTGGGAAAGGCAAGAGCTACTGTGGAGAGGAACTCCTTGGTGAGTTGTGAGTACTCACTACATTCTAGCTTGAAGAGCTTGCTCAAGCCTAGCTTCCTTATGTACCATGTGACATCATCTCTTATCTTGAGAAGATCAAGGGTTTGGGTGTCCATCTTCACACATGGCTCGATGTTCACCTTCTCCATTGCCTTCTTACACTTTCTTGGGTCTTGATTTTGTTCTCCAACAAAGGTTACAAGTGCCCAATCATCTTCTCTCCTCTTGGACTCTCCACATGTTCTTGATTGCATCAATGGAATGTGGTGAAGTTGGTATTGCTGCTCTTGCATTGGAGCTACTACTCCCTAGCTTGATTTGTTTCTTTGGTGGTTCCATGAATGGGTTCTTCTTCTTCTTCATACTCTCATTTCCTTTTGTCTTTGCCATTGGTGTACCTACAAGAGCAAATTCTTGGGAAGAAATATGAGTTTGTGATTAATGCAAAAGAAGAATAAGCTAATTGAGTTGCAATAATGATATGGAATAAAGGAACAACTCAAGGCTTAATCATGAATCAAAGAGACAAAATAGAAATTTCACTTTTTCAAAGTTAATTTTCGGATTTTACTGTTCATCCCAAGATTATGGTGCTTAAAATCAAAATTTTCAGCAAATCAAGAGAAATTGAGTTTCTAATCCAAGTAATCACTAGATAAACTAATGAATTGAAGTATGCCCAAGCAATTTCACCTTTGAATAAGGGGTTTGGAATGCCCAATAAGTTTTGTGAAAAACTATTCAATTGTGAAATTAAACTTCAAATTAACTCTAAACCACCTAGGTTCCACCTAGCAAGTTCATTACAAGACTATAAGGATGCTAATTTCAAGTCTAGACAAGAGTTTAGACCAAACATGAAACTTATTGAATTTTCGATCTTGCATAAACATAGGATTAGAGTTAGAAGACATACCTTGTGTGTTGAAAAGTGAATAAGGTTGCAAGAGCAAGTAAATTCCAATTTAGAGTTATGAACAGTAAAAGTTTTGAAATCAAAACTCTTAGAGTTCCTCTAATGGAGTTTAGGGTTTTGGAGAAGAAAGAGAGGTTCTTGTGTTTTCAAGGGAAAGGTGAAGTAAATAAGATCTAAATCCTATCAATTTTCCTTTTCAAATTCGAATTTTGATTGAAAACCGGTTTAAGTTGGTTTAGATTGGTTAAAACCGGTTTGAATTAATGAAAAGGGGACTTACCTTGGCCGAGAAAGTTTGGGCCGATGGCCGATGGTTTGTCGCGGTCGAGCGATTTGGTCGGCCAAATTTGTTTTGGCGAGAGATTTCGGCCGAGGCCGATCGTTTGTTTCCCGGATCGACCGTAACGGTCGGTCCGTTCCGATACGAAAATTTCGGCCGATCGCGGCCTGAATCTTTCCCGGTTCGTGCGTGCCGCGCGAACGGTTTCTGTCGCGCAATAGATGATCCGGCCGAGCACGGCTTCCTTCCCGGCTCGACCGTAACGGTCGGCCCGGTTGGAATTGCTCGGCCAAAATTTCTTTTGCGCGTCCGCGGCCAATGTTTGGCGCGGATTGTGTTTTCACACCTTTTTCTCCTTCTATCCTATCTTAAAACAAAGAAAACACAAAAGCAAAACAAAAACTAAGAAATTTAAAGAAAGAAAAGTAAAAGTACCTCATGGGTTGCCTCCCATGCAGCGCTTGTTTTAAGTCTTTAGCTTGACTGTAAGGCTTGGCACTCAGGAGAAGATGGAGACAAGAGGCATCTTTGATCCTCCAAGTCTTTTCTCCTTGCAATGAGTATCTGGTGGGTGATTCACAGCTGGATAGACAATCTCTCCATGAATGTCCCTTGGCACTACTGCCTTAGGAAAAAGCTTTAGAGTTCTTGTCACTTTCTCCTTGAATCCTTCTAGATTCTCATCAATAAGCTCCTTTGGGAATAGAAGCTTCATGTTGCGGCCAGACCTAGGCTTTTCTAACCTTCCTTCTTGGCTTGGCCTCATCTTCAATCTTGGTTGATCCCTTGGGCGGTTTTGGTGTAGGGGCCTTAGTCTTACTCCTTGCTTGTTTGGCAAGCTGCTTGGGCTTAGGAATGGGATCTTCCTTGATTGTTTCTTCAGTTTCTCCTTCTTGGGGTGGCTTCAAAGTAGCTTTCTCCTCTTGGACCATGTCAACAAAAGAGTTCTTTGTTGAACACATAGGGAAGAACATACCCTTGTTCACCTTGTTGAAAGAGATTCTTTGATTGGGGAAATCAAATATGGCACCCACAGTAGACAGGAAAGGGGTTCCAAATATGAGAGGTCTATGGCTACTCTCTCTCATTTCCACAATCTGGAAATCGGTGGGATAGAGCAATTTCCAATCTGCACCATCACATTAGGCACAAAGCCATAGGGGTTTGTGAGAATGAATCAGCATAGTTGATGGAGATGGATGATGGCTGTATCTTGGTGAGGCCTATCTTGTCAGCTATCCTCTTAGACATGATGTTCACATTGGCTCCTGTGTCACACAAAGATTGCTCAAGAATGTTACCTTTGATGATACAAGGCACAACAAACTTTCCTGAGTTATCAGTCTTGGGGATAATCTTTGGGAAGAGTCTTCTCTTTCTAGCTCGATTGGACTCTCTCTCTGGGTAATTCTCTTCAGGCCAAATCATGCAATCAACAGTAGGTTTTGAAAGCATCCATTCTGGAACTTGGTCTTCAAATCTTTCTTCTATGGCGGCTGAGTTGCAAAAGGACTTCTTGGATTCAGCTTCCTGTCTCTTAACAGCTTCCATAGTTTGAGTGACTTGAGTCTCTAGTTTCTTCACATGAGTGGCAACAGCATCATACTTGGTGTTGAGATTGCTGAACAAAGTGTCCATCTTCTCATACATCTCTTTATGTTTCTCTTCTGGCCATCCATGATCTGTTGGAGGATTCCTTCAAATCTCCCACCTTGTTGGTTTGGAGGAGCTTGATTTGGTGAAGAAGCATATGGCTCCTTGGGCGGATATGATGATCTCTGCTCATATCCTTGCCTTGGCTGAAATTGACTTCCTTGAGATTGGTAAGGAGGTCTTTGTTGTTGTGGATACCTTGGAGGATACACTTGGTCTTGAGGATTCTCCACATTGGGGTTTCTATAAGACATGTTGGGGTTTGGGCGATAGCTTGGATTGTATCCCTTGTTCCCATAGTTTCCAATGTAGTTCACATCTTCTTCATTGGCTTCATTAGAGAAATCTCCCATGCATTCTCTTGATGGGTCTTCATTAGCATCACTCATCCCTTCTATTGCATTGATATGCTTGAGCTGTCCCTTAAGAACTTGAGCCATCATGTTCTTGAGTTCAGTCATTTGAAAAGAATCAGGGGAGCTAGTAGTGGTGCGGCTTGAGCGGTCATAATCAGGACAGTTGTTACAATCACTAGCTGCAAGATTCTCAATAAGAACCTTAGCTTCATCAACAGTCTTGGTCATGAAGTTTCCATTGCTTGCAGTGTATCCAATGAAAGCTTGTACTTGTGGTCTATGCCACGATAGAAGATGTTCCATAGGTTTCCCTCATTGAAACCATGATTAGGGCAGTCCCTAATGTACTCCTTGAATCGATCTAGCGCCTCATAGAAAGATTCATTGTTGGCTTGGCGAAAGTTGGAGATCTTGTTCCTCACAGAAATTGATCTCTGTTTGGTGTAGAAGTGGTTGATGAATGCAGCCTTGTACTCATCCCAAGTGGTAATGGAGTGAGCTGGCAGAGACTTCAACCATCTTGAAGCTTTGTCGCCAAGAGAGAATGAAAAGAGCTTGCACTTAAGGTAGTCAGCAGAGACTCCATTGGATCTTGTAGTGCTGCAAATTTCTTCAAAGTTTTCTATGTGATCAAGAGGATGCTCAGCTGGAAGTCCATTGAATTGGTTCTGTCTAACCAATGCTATGATCTGAGGCTTGATCTCATAGTCATTCCTTGCAGGAAGTGGTGGATGGATAGGGTTTCTATCCATGAAGAAAGCATCGGCAGAGTCATAGTCTCCGATTGTAGGTGCTCCAGCTTGAGGTTGTGCACATTCACATCTCCAGCAGGGTCTTGTGGATTAGGAGGAGGAGGAGGTGGATCTCTTCCTTCTTCTTGAGCGCGCGCCACTTCAGCGGCGTGAGCGCGAGCTGCTTCGTCGGCCATCTCTTGGGCTTTCTGCTTCCTAAGTTGCTTCTCAAGCTTGTCTATCTCTGGATGTTCAACTAGGTTGTCCTTGTTGGACTTCCTAGTCATGCACCTGAAAAGAGTCTTGGAAACAAGTTAAACTAAAAGGGAAAAACAAAAACAAAAGCAAAAATCAAAGAAAAGGAAATCAAAAACTAAAAATTCAAAAGCAAAAGAAAAGTAAAACAGGAAAAGGTTCTAGACTAGATCCTAGTCGAGTTCCAAAGGTACTGCTGCAGTCCCCGGCAACGGCGCCAAAAACTTGATGTGGAGTCAGGTTTTACCAAACTCCTAGACCTCTGCAAGTGCACAGATCGCGGAAGTATGGGTATCGAACACAAGGACTGGCTATTGAGTACACTTTGAAACTATGGATTTTGGATCAAGCTAAAACAAAAGTATGATTGAGGTTGTAATGGTGAACCGAACTAGCAAGTATAACGAGGTTGTAAATCAATAAAGGAAAAGCGCTAGGTCATAGGGGCTATCGCAGAGAAGCAAGCAATGATCAATGAAACAATGATAGATTAATTGATTAGGGATATTGGGATATTAAGAACCATCTAGAACACAGATCACGAATATAAAACCATTCCACTTTCGAGGCTCCGGCTCCTTTGCTAATCTACCTAGTCGCTAAACTTTTGGTATGTCCCTAGGTGATTAATCAAGCATTAGAATGAATAGGTTCTGATACAGTTCACTAGATATAGATAGATCAACTTTCGCAGTCTAAGAAACCTAGCTTGTCAAAGAATATGTCCGGCGAATGATACAGCACTGTCGAGGCTCAAATCAACCTAAGATCGGATTACTAGATGCGCGGTAAAGCAATCAGCATTAGTTAAGTGCACAAGACGAGACAAAGACTCTAATATAATCCCTAGCTAATCATTGAAATCAAAGATCATGCAAGCAACTCATTGAATAGTAACCCTAGCAACCTAACTAGTGGATTACTCAGACATGATCAAAGCAAACACACATAGAGATGAAGAAAACATGATTGCAATAAAACTTAGAGTAGGAAATCGAAATACAGGGCGGCTCTCTTTCTCAAGAGGCTAAAAATATATATATAGTGCTAGGTCTTTTAGAGGCGGCTTAGGGTTAAGCCGGGCTTGAAAACATAAGTTTGGGCTTCAAAAAGGGCTTCGGGTCGACCGCGGCGTTGGGACGGTCGGTCGGGACGATCGGCCGGACAGTCGGGTCGTGGGCCGAGTCGGAACGGTCGGGGTCGGATGGATTCGCGGTCGGCCGGCGTGGTCGAGCGGATTGAGATTTGGCCGATGAGAATTCTCGGCCGGACGTGGGACGTTCTTTCCCGGCTCGGACGGATGCATCGGCCGTGGTACGCGGAAGGGTTGCGCGGCCGCGAGGCTTGTTTCCCGGCTCGCGCGCTTTGGTCGTGCGCGGTGTGGCGTGGAGCGCTTGAAGCTTGGCCGACCGCGGGACAATGTTTCCCGGGTCGCTGCGTGATCGGCCGGTCGGT